TTTGCTTTCATCAATGTTTCTTGGAAAATAATTATTATTTTTTTAATACGGATGAGATAAATTTGTCATATCAATTCATCATAATTTTTGATGAATCATTCAGTTTACTACTCTTTCTATTACTATACGTTATTATTATCCATTACTGTCAGTATTATCCAATACTGTTATTATTATTATTGTATTAGTATTGATTGGTATTATTACTTATTTACTTATTGTTTGTTGGTATTGTTGCTACTGCCTCTCAACAAATAATTATTAAGTAGTCTAGCAAGTTTGAGGAATGATAGTGGACTACGATAAAATTATCCGTTAACCAGCATGAAAACAAATACTTGTGTACTAATAATTAATACAGTAATAGAATTTAATATCTTAAATACAAAAATAAATGGAAAAAAAATTTTTCAAAAATGTAATCAATGCTGATTTTGATTGATAGTAATGATAAATCTTTCTGGCATTACCAAAATCACAGTAAAAAGAATTTGCTTCAAAATGTAAAAAATAGCAATTGAAAGTAAGTGCTTGTTTATATTACATACCTTATATAATTTGCCATTTCTTTGATTAACTTTCGTTTTTTACATAAATATTGAAAAATAAAGTAAAAAGTCTATTTTTTAATCACTGGTAAGTACTTTCTTTGCTGAGAGATATTTAATAATTTCTTCTTAACAACTTTGTCAGAAATTTATTCAAAATACACTTTTTCACTCTAAATTATTTGCTTGCAAAAATTTTCCACTTTTAATTTTGTATAAAAAATTAGCATTTACTTAACTTTTTAAAATTACTTTTATAGTATTATTTTTATTTATTTTGTCTATTTTTTCAGTGTTAAATTTTTGAATTGCACAAAGTAAAAATACTTGTTTACCTGCGTTATAATAATTATCATATTTCTTTAATTTTTATGTAAATTTTTTTTTGAATTTTTATTAGAGTTTAACAAATCTTTGCTATAAGATGATGTCAACAAAATACAAATTCACAAGATTAATCAAATTAATGCTATCCTTAAATACTAGAAATAAAAATGCGTAAATTTATAACTCAAATATACTTCAACATGTGAATTCAGTATTTTTAATGTTGAATATAATCATTTTGTTAGGTTGTCAGAAATGAATAAACTATACATGCTTAAAGTTCATTTTTAAAGATTAAAATATTAAAAATGCCAGTATATAAGAATAAAAATGTACTAATAATGCATTGAAGCAATTTACGTGAAGTAACGTGAAGCCTTATTTGCCCTCGTAAAATGATTTAGAGCTTAAAGTTTATTTAAAGACAGAGTTATATTTGTTTAATCTGAACTGCATGTATAAAAAATAAAACTTGAAAAAATTTAATGCTAATTGGACTGATTGGTTTGTAAGCTTAAATAATGCAGTATTGTTTTTGTTATTTTTGTTATTCGTTTAGTTTTTTATTTTTCTTAATTTATTTAGATGAATGCCGGAATGGTGGAGTACGTTTTGATGCAGACGCTGAAAAACAAGACCTGAAACAAAAAACGAGTACCACGGTACGAATGATAAAAAGGCGACAGAGCGGTTATGGAATCGCTATCAGCAGGTATTATCATGATTGAATATCTATCATAAATTTTTAAATCATATTTCTAGTCACAATATCAATATTATATCTGGTTTTTATAAAATTTTTTATGCTAAATATTCATGATAGTTGTTGTTATTGACTTATTTGAAGTAAAAATTCATCTAAAAATAAACATATAAGAAATAATCATATTAAAGATAACAAAAAAATCAATATTAAAAATAATGATCATTGAATAGATAAATTTTGTATAACTTTGTTAACATAAAAATATGTAAATATTATTTTAGAATGTGATAATACAAAAGCGCATCCTACCTAATATATGCTAATTTTAATAACCACGTGAATTTATGAATTTCCGCTTATGCAAAATTATAATTTAACTTTTTCTAATTTTTATATTATATATTGAAATATTTTATTGGTAAATTATTCCTTACAAAATGAATGTATAATATTTTGAAAAACTTTAAAATTCAAGCAAAGTGCCGAGTGAATATTTGATTCTTAGCTGATTTTATTAATAGCATCACAACAATTAATTTTTATGTATTTATGCGTGAAAGAATGAATGAACTTCGTTCTAATTAACTTTAGCATTATTTTGGTTACTTTCCAAAACTGATCAATAATTAAGTAATATTTTATTTTACAATAATCATTTAAATAAAACTATTTTACGAATGTATTTCTAGAAATAAAAATAGCAAAATATTAATTCAGATTTAATAGTTTAAAATTTGATTTGCTATTTTTATTCTATATCATTTTTTGTATTTATTTTTTATAGAAGAATTAAGTTTAAGCAATGCGTTTGATTAATCAGTTCGGTAGCAGAACTTTACTTTTTTAATCATTGCAAGTTAGTTAACTAATTTAAAAATTAAAAACTGACGCTATAAGTTGTCATAGAAACTAATAAAAATAATATAAAAATTTTTTAATTATTTTTCAAAAGGTGAAAGTGCAACCTTAACATTTGTATATAATTTACTTTATAAGCAATAAATATATTTTTTATTTGAGTACACACAAAAACCAAAACGAGCAATGATGAAGAAATATTATTAGAATTACTTTAATGCCATCTTGCAGACATTTCTGTGGCAAAAAGATTGAATTCAGGTGCAAATACTGAACATTTGATTGGCTTCTGATATTATATTTTTTCTATCAGAAAGTATCGAGTTCTGTGATGGCAGTAAAATGAGAATCTTTAGAGATTCTAAAGTATTTTGTTCATTGAAACTTTTTTTAAAAAGACTTTTAGCAATTTTTTTAAGTTAAAATTTGATTTATGATAAAATTTTGATTTATGAGTTAAAATTTGATTTTATGATTTGATGGAGATTATGCAAATTAATGGTAATTTTTAAGAATAAATTCACTAATTAAAAAAGTGCACGTAATGAATGGATAAAAACTTTAAATTTTACTTTTGATGCAAAAGTATTCCCTATATGAAATAAATATTTTGTAATTTTATAAGTGTAAACGTTTTTTAATTTAAAAACTGTTGATTATTCTTTAGCTATTATTAAGAATGATTTTGTGCAAATAATTTCAAAATTATAAAATCTTAGTTTTAATAACAAAAATGTGTGATTGTTCTTTGAAGACTTATTAATTTTTTAATTTTTATATTTGATTTATATTATTTGTTGGCAAAACACTTTCAGCTTCATCAAATTTCACTTTTAAATTATGTATTACTGAATAAAATAAAATCTTTAATAAAACTGTACGTACTAATTCACTTAACATTTTATTTTTTATATTTTTTAGTTTTACTAATTCAAAATCATTTATTTTAACTATAAATTTCAAAAAAGTAATATGAAATTTAAAATGTTAGTTTATTTTTGTCTTTCATTTTTTATTATTTTATCACCTGATGGTGCAAATTAATATAAAATAATGAAACATAATGATACAAAATAAACGTAGTAAAAATGAAAATAAGTAAAAATGAAAATAAGTAATTCATTTAACATTTTATTTTTTATATTTTTTAGTTTTATTAATTCAAAATCAAAATATAAATTTATATTTTGTAAGTGTATGACAATTTTGACAATTTCAAAAAATTTGTTTATTAAAAATGATTTTTTTCAGCTGTTATTGTTGCAATAAAAATGAATAAACTAAAAAATGAAAAAAATGAATTTTAATTTGCTTAAATAATAATAAGTTTGCTCTTCAAAATTTGCATATTATAATTAATTGAATGAATAAAAACGTGGAGTTTGATATACATTGAACTGCGTATTGCAAATCACAATGATTTATTAGTTTTATACTCAAACAATTAAATAGATTTTGTCAAGTAAGTGATAATTATATTTCTACAATTTTTAGTTATTGTATTAACATATTTTTTGAAATTTTAATTTTATAATCTTTAATAATTAAGAAAACAAATAAAATAAAATTCAAATTTCTCGTATCAAAATTTAAAGAAAAAAAGAGTTCATTCTAAGATAACAAATTCTAAAACAAACTCAGTATGACTATTGTTTGTTAACAAGTTAATTTGTTTATTATTAAGCAATTTTTACAAAATTTAAATTTTATAACAAAATTTAAAATTGAGTTTGCAACTGATGAATAATATTTCAATTGAATGATAAATGAGGGAAATATGTCATGTGTGTATTAAAGCTCTGAAAACAAATATTTTTAAAAATGTCCGTGAGAATAATTTAATTTTGAAGGTCCACCAAAAAAAAGCTAGCATAAAGGTTATTAATATCTTCACAGTAATGATATTGAAGAATTCAAAAAATTTAGCTTTTCTCAAGCAATTAGCAATTATAATTATTATTACTTTTTCCGTTTGTATATTTGCGAGGATATAAGTGTCTAAGTAAATCATAATTATAATAATTTTTATTCAAAAGTTTGCGTAAACTTTGCTGTTTTCAAACATATTTTAGCATTATCAAATTGCAAGAGTTATTAGTTTATTTTTTATTAAATTTAAGCATATGACAAATAAACAATAACAATCACGCTATTACAATATTTGTTATGTTTGAGCCAATTATTATAATTTAATAAAATAAAAACGAAATGGCTGAAATAGAAGTTTCAACGACAAAATTGACGAGTAAATTTAAGATTTGTATTGCTGAATTATATTAATTTTATCATTTTGCATTATTTGTTTCTGTTTTTTGTTATCTTTTATATATCACTTCCTTAACTTGATGACTTCTATTTATTTATGATAATTTCTTCAAAAATATCATTACTAAAATCATATCACCCAAAAGGCGTTTTAACAACCGCAAAGATCACTAAAATTTTATATTAAATTTAATCATAAAAATAAAAAAGCTATTCAAATTAGCTACTTTTTAAGTTATCACAAATTAATTTAGACTGATTAATACAAATATAATTTCAGTGACAGTACCGCTAAAATGCGTTGTCGTCTGCGCAAGCAATTATTCATCAAAAGAAATAAAATCTGTGAAGTTTCATTAGCGTTAGGTTTGGCAGGATTAATTTTCGTGATAATTGATTCAGAAATCACTGCTTCAAATGGCGACAGCAATTTCAGCAAAGTAATAATAGCAATTTTATTTTTGCTTTACAACTAATAAAAATGTAGCAAATACAGTACCAATTAGTGATCTATTATTAAAACTGTAAACAGAAATTGTTTGACTGCTTTAAAAACTAAATTTTATTAATTGAAAAATAATATTTGTAAATTTAGTGTAAGCTATGCATTAAAACTGAAGCAAACTGGCAAATACAATTATTAAATTCGAAGGAAATTTTAACTACAAAAATAATTTGTATTTCAGACGCATCCGATTTCGTTACTTCTTCGAACTCTTTGCGTATTGTGCACAATAGCGCTAATGGCTACTTTGGTTCATTATCACGCTACTGAAGTGAAATATTTTTCATAATTTATGCAAATTTTTAAAAATATTTCAAAATTAATTTTTGATAAATCAATAAAATAATAATTTTTGAACAAATATGTAGTTAAATAATAACTAAATGTGTCCATGCTGTTATCCATTGCAGTTAATTACTTTCAATAATACTGATAATTTAATAAATCGGTCAATTATTTAAATTGATATCTCAGATAATTGATTAACATCATTATGCTTCTGATAAATTGAAAGTTTTGAATAATTTCTTTTACATTTTCAATTTATACTCAAGTAAATGACAGTATACGTTTTGAGAATATCTCTAGACATTTCCTAACTGCCATAAATCCCTTTGTAGATCAATAATTCAAAGTTACAACTTTTCCAATTACTCAAAATTGGGAAAGTTATTTGAAACGAAAAAAGTAAAGTTATACTCGACAATAATTCATTTCAGGTAAAAATTGCACTGATAGATAGTGGAGCAGATGACTGGAGGGTAGCACTAACAACAGAACGAGTGATTAAGTTAGCTATTGAGCTTGTGATCTGCTCTATTTGTCCATTTCCGGGTCTGTCTGCACCTATTGTATTATTTAGAAGTATTTTTAGTTTAAAATAAAGTTGGAATACAACTTGATAGAGTAACAATATGAGACACTCATAACATTAATAGTCTGAGTAAAGTATGCAAAAATATACTCACAACTTGAAAAAGACGCAGATTTTTAGAGAAATAGTGCGATATAGCATTTCGAAGGTAGAGAATTAAGATTGAGAGTGCAGTCAGACAGTTGTATATTGACACTTAAAGAGTAATTTATTAAAATTCAAATTACCATTTAATTTCTAGTAAAGACATTAAATGGTTAACAAAGTAAGAAATCTTAGTGAGTTTGCAATAAGTTTGGTATGAATGAAACTGCGTAAAAAATCAAAAAAAGAAACAAAAAATTTGGCTAAGAATAATTTACTCTTCAAGGAATCCATAAGTACTGCAATGAATACTTGATATAATCTTATTTATAATCAAAAAATGTAATTAATTACACCTTACTTCATTACCGTATCAAATCTTGACTAGGTTATACTCATTACAACATGAATTACTTCAATTACTACGGTTTATAGGTACTGGAATGATGCAATGGCCTTATATCCATCCAGACAGCAGGAAGGCTACTATGGTTGACGTACCTGTTGATGTTTTGCTAGCTGTACCAATGTTCCTTCGAGCATACCTCCTCTGTAGATTTATGGTCCTACATAGCAAACAATTTCAAGTACCTAACTTTATATATTTACATTTTTTTATTTTTAAAATATTTTTTATCAAAAAAGAATTATTCAAAAATTTAAAAAATATTTCACTTACCTTACACACTTACATATGTTGAATTTTTTAATTTTACTTAATAAAAATACTTTAACAAAAACTTAATATTGATTAAGCATACATAATATTAAATATGGTGGAAAATCTTGATTGTATTTTGCTTCTTTCCTTATCTTGTAATGTTTACGTTTGTGATTCAGAAATAATTTAAAATTCATGCTTTTTAGGATGCTGCAACTCGTTCAATAGCTGCACTTAATCGAATTTCAATGGATTTTCGATTTGTCATCAAAACAATGATGGCTGATCATCCTCTTAGGGTACTTATTGTATTTACCGTATCATTTTGGGTTTGTATGTCATGGATGTTTACACAGTGTGAACGGTATCAATTATTTTCATCTTTTTTACTCGAAACTTTGATAAAAATTTGTCTGATGATATCAGTAGTTTTAGATTAAGCATTACTTGCATTTAACAAAATTTAAATTTGAGGATGAAATAGTGTCAAAGCTATTTCAATTTTATCTCTTGCAGTTAAAAAACTTAATAATTTAAGTATGACTGTACAAAAAATAATAAAAAAAATGAAATTTCTTGCTCAATTTTTCAGGCATTACCTCATTTTATATTTTTATATAATTTTTTTTTTGTTGCTGTAATAAGTAGATTTTGCAGGTACGATGGTCATTTACCAGCTGAGCACTACTACCTTAATTCTCTTTGGTTCATAATGGTAATATAACTTTTGTCACTTATGATTTATAAGAAAAATTTGTTTAAAAAAATTTCAAGCAAATTTTATTTATTGAAAACAAAAAACTAGCACTTGAATATTAATTAATTTTGAATGAAATCTGTAAAAACATTTTAAAATAAGTTTTTTAATCAAATTTTTGAAAAAAGATTATTGTAAATTAAAATTGGTACTACAAAAAAAAAAAACACGAAACATTAATAATACATTAATATTTTGTTATTCTTTAGAAAAACTTACTTTGAAAGGTTATATTAAAAAAAGTATTTTTTGAAGTTTGAATTTCAGGTAACATTTATGTCCGTTGGTAAGTTTTTGTACAAATTTTGTAATATGCATGATTTTTTATATTAATCAACTATTTATAAAACTGTATGCTTTTGTGTGATTTAATTTCGTGTCTGTGTATTGCTGTTTTTTAAAATATCTTTGATAATATATAGCAAAGTTTTTAAATTATGAATTCATTAATACCTTGAATATGCAAAGTCATACAATTGGATATTATGACTTACCTTACTTTTCGATAAGTATGTTGAATGTTTCTAAAGCTTTTCATCTTTTACCCCTTTTTTATTCGTTATTTCAATGTAAAAATTATAGGTTATGGTGATATCGTACCAAATACTTATTGTGGTCGTACATTGGCAATAACAACGGGTATTGTGGTACGTTTTTGTAAATCTGAACTGAGCTTTTCGATATTTTGTACTTCTAAAAAATTTTTCTTACTTTTTTTTGCCTAATTCATAAACAATAATTAAAATAGATAATTAATATTAAGTTAAAAATTTGCTAATTTAGTTTTAAGTTTTAACGTAAGTCATATATTTTGACTTAACGTTGGTCATATTTTTTTAAGCTGACTTTTAATCATCCGAAGTTGTATTTATTTAAGTATTAAGTACCCAATTATTTAACATTTTTGTTACTAATTGATAAATATTCAATCTTTTAATAAAAATGTGCTTCAAGTATTATTATCAGAAAAATCATTACTCCAAAATATATGAAAGGACTGATTAATGATAAAAGTTTTAATTTAAACGATTGCTTGACAAAAATAGTACCCTTAACTTAAACTTAGCTAATTAAATTTTTCAGCTCAGTACTCAAACATTGATTGAGAGTATTTAATTTCGTTTTAAATTATCAATTTCTGCTTGCTAATGAAAATAATATAAACTGCTTAGGGTGCTGGTGTATCATCAGCTCTCATAGCTGTAATTTCACGTAAACTAGAGTTAAGCCGAGCTGAAAAACATGTCAACAATTTTATGGCCGATTCTAAACTTACTAATCAACGTAAAAACGCTGCGGCATTGGTACTTCAACAAACTTGGCTAGTTTATTCGAATTTTTTCATTAATAAAATATTACAAATATTTAAAATTAAGTAAATTGCTAAAAAATCAATCAAAAACTTAAAATACAAAAAAAATTTGGAAAATTTAATTTTTATGTAAATTTTAAAAAAGTTGATGATTAAAAACAAAAATTAAATGTTTAGTTTTTTTAATTGTTGAAAAATTTTTTGAATAATAACTATATTTACGTATTTTTTTTAGGTTCATTCATAAGTATAAGCATTCATGTGGTAAAGGTGATGAATTACGATTAAGACATCATCAGAGACGTTTTTTGCAAGCAATTAGCGAATTTAGACGAATCAAATGGGATCAACGGAAGTTACAGGAACGAGGAAACTTGTTACTGGATGTTGGCAAGGTTAATCATTATCATTTAATCATTTCTTCTTTTGTGCTTTGAATTATCACTTTTAGCTATCAGAAAAATAATAAATTGATGCATCTGAAATATAGGCTTTCAGTGTTAGAAATTATGGAAAGCTGTGGGAAAGTTGATGGCAAATATAATTTAAGAGGGGCTTTTAGTGATTTTAAGAAGCTTTTGACAAACTGCTATCATATTAATAATTATGCTATTCTTTGGCTAAAATATGATATAATATGATATGATAAGATTAAAAAATTGAACTTTAAAACGTAGAAAAGTTTTTGAGATTAGCTCTCAAAGTAGTTTCTTTGCGTGATTTCAAGACTGCTATGAATGTTCAGATGTCAACCTGTTTACTTGCATCTAAAATAATGCATTCAGTATATCTTTCTAAAACATTCTTATAAAATTTAAAAATTCTGACGTAAAATTCTTTCAGGAAGAAAATGTTTTGGAAAATTGCAAAAACTGTCAAAGTTTTAAAATTGTTAATTAAGCGATTAATTTTTAACTTTTAGTTACATAGTGAAATGCATGAAACGTTATGGGAAATGCATCGAACTCAAGATCAATTCATTGCACAAGTGGATTTATTAACACAGAAAATTGTGGAACTTCAGAATACTCTTAAACAGCAACAACATCAACAACACCGGCATATGCTTCAGAATCCATCACAGTCATACCAACGCGGTATGTCAAGTGCAGAAAGTTGTGAGTCTGGACTGATTCTACCACAGTCAACATTGATAACGGGGCAACCTACTGTAACCCTACCAATGGTACCTTCTCTAACAACGCTTCCGGTTCGAAGTACAACTGCTTCAGCGGTTGATTTTGCTGATATACCCTCAGGCAGTACTAATATACCACGGGTTTATCCAGATAATGGATATATTAGGTTGTAATAGACAATAAATATATTAATTTGAAGTTTTCAATTGATAAGCTTGTTTGTTCATATTACAAAAAGAAAATATAAAATTATTTGTACTGCTCAAGAAACAATTAATTAATAACTGATAAGCATTTAGATCATTACTTTAACATATTATTGTAATAACATTTGACCTGTGATGTATTTAATACTATTCACTGTAAGGTTTCTTTTAACATATCTAAACCGTTTTCGATATTGAAAACAATGCTTGGAAAGATGAAATTAGATCTCATGAATATGTATTTCTGTAAAAAAATAATTCACAATTATTTACTTTAAAGTTATTGAATTATTTTCTTCAAGCTAACAGTATTAAACTTGAAAAATCAAAATTTTTAAAAATAAACTAAAAAGATTTTGAGTAATTTTTACTTTATTGCTAAATTTTGAATTTGAACAAAGCTTATTAACAACATGCAAACTACAATATGAAGTTTTCAACTGATAAGCTTATCTGTTGTTTAATGATAACAATTTCAGTATCATATGAGCAGCAATTTTTATTTTGATAAAAAAATTCTTCATAAAATGATTGTAGTAGAAAACATGTTGACAATATTTACTCATTTTCAGAAGAAAATTAAAATTTGAATTTGAATAACTTTTGAAAATATTTCAAAATTTTTCTCAGATAATATTTGAAAGAGCTAAAAATTTTCTCCATGTTTTTTGCTAATTTCAGCTCTTAACTTTACCAAATGTAGTAAGATTTGTACGTAATCATAATTTTACGTTTGAAATATTTTTTCTCAACAAAAGGTGTATTTTTTCAGTTCGCGCGTTTGTGTACATATTTTTAACGTTTGTGTTTGTTGCTACTGTTGAATTTGATGTTTTTCTCAAAGTTAACTTGTGATTCAATGGCAGTAAACAATAAAGTTTGCATCTACCTGAAGTTATTATCTTCATTTGACAAATAGGAAACTATTTTGAATATATTAAACTAATCGCTATAATACAATGTGTTTGTGCTTTACGGTAATTTCATTTTCGTTTATGATTTGATCAAAAAGTAAATCATATAAAAATCGATGTTGATTGATCCGATAGAATCGTTTTAATTATTTTACAACGAATAAATTTAAATAAATCTGTTTACTCTTTTTGCAGTTATGAAGTGCAGAAATAATAATTTAAGTCTGAAAAAATCTTTGAAAGGCTATGAAAATGTATTTCGCGGATTAACTATGCAGTATTAATCCTCATTTATCAACCTTTTCTATTACAATACTTGGACGAAATCTGTAGGTTAAAGGTTAGCCTTCTTGTTTGCGCAAGCGATTGAGTGTGCCTGAAAGTACTCTGCTCACTTCGTCTTTTGGTGATCAGACTAACCATTGACCTCATTAGCTTGACCTCAGTCGGGTAAACGTTTCACTCATCACTTCACCAAAATGACGTCACAAAGACATGTGTATTAATTTCGTTGTGGGATATCTAGCAGAAGTAACGTCAATTGTTGACGGGTTGCAATGAAAAATTATTTCTTTGTAATACTCGTTTTTCTATTTCGTCTATCAACTCAGTGTCACGGACTTTGCATAATGTCATCACATAATGTCGATGTTGTCTCTCTCTTTAGCGCTGACTTTAGTTAGCTGAATTTATGATATTTTTTTTAATGCACTGATGACCTTTAATCTTTGCGGCTTTTTTAGGGTTAAAGGTAATTGCTATGTTGTCAACTTTTTAACCTAAGATTCATTATTAGTCCTAATAGCTTTTTTTTTCAAAAAATTTACAAGCTAACTGCAACCGTCTAATACGCAATACGTCCAATACGTTTAATACGTTATTGAGCTAACTTCAGCGATTGTTTTTACTAATTTTTCTGATATTTTCATAATGTAATTTAAATATTATTAAATATTTGAATAGCATATTTGAATGAAATTTTTTTGAATATAGTCAGAATAATAGTCAATTTTTTGCTATTTTCCACAAACTTTTCAAAGTTTGCTTCTTTTTTTGGTATAAATTTTGATTAAAATTGAATTCACGTAAAGATATTGGCATTTAAAAATTTGCATATCTTGCCATTAAAAATTTATAGGTAAAAATGCTCGAAGCATTTTCTAACAATCAATCAATCAATCATTGCACTTGTTTTGTTTGTTTTTTCACCACTTTTCAACGGTAATATTTATTCATTTTAAACGGGCAATGACTTCCTACGCTTGTCGTTGTTGCCATTTTCTCTTGCAGTTAACCAAATAAAATATGAATATTTTTAGCAATGATTCATGGCTTAATCGCTTTTGGTACCATCGGTACCATTGGTACCTTTAGAAGTTATTGGCATATATTGTTTTGTGTACAAATTTTTGTCATAAAAGTTATCTTAACAATTTGAAAGTTCTACTTTCTGATTGAATAAATCTAATATTTATAATTATTTTACAATTTTTGCAAAATTTTTTCATTACATTTTTGCTTTCTTTTACTTATCTTTTTTGTAAAGTAAAAGTATAAAATTAATTCTTATGTTTTCTATAAAATACCACCATATGCAAGCAGTACTTTGCTTGTATTGTTTAAATTAATACATAAGTGTTATATAGTAATTAAAATAGCTCAAGAATACTACTGTATCTTTTTTTATACAGTATAAATGCAATGAATGCAAATTTTGCATTAGAAATACCTGATCTGATCTAATCTGATCTTATCATTTAGGCATTTAATGAGAGCAATTTTAATTATCCTGCATTACCCAAATTAAATAAAAAGTTATTCCAATATTATGCAAACAGTAAATAATTAAATTTTTTGATTTTTTTCAAATAAATGTAATTGCTATGTTGTCTACTTTTTACCTTAAAATTCATTAATAGTCTTAAAAGCTTCTTTTTTTTATACAAAGCCAACTGCAACCGTCTAATACTGACTGTTTGAATTTTACGTTACAAAGTTTTCTGCTGCTATAAAGATACAGAAATAACATATGGACGGATGACTTAACCTCTGAAATATAACGCGAACTTTCTTCTGAGTTAAATTCATCATGACATTTTTGTAGATAATTCCATGCAAATTTTTATATCCCTATATAAGGCTGTTACGGATCTGATAAATACAGTCATATGACAAAATAATCCAAACTGGATAACTTTATGAGAGAATTGTTGCTTGAGATTTCTACCATTTTCTTCCTTACATACAAATTAATATCAGTTGAAAATGACTGTCTATCATTCAAGTCAAAAACAAACGCAAACAATTGTGAATAGTATGAAAAATAAGCAAAATAAGTAATAAGTAATACAATTTTCATATTAAAATAAAACATTTTAATATATATATATTCATATTTATAACTATATATTTATATTTATATATATACAATTAAAATATAAACATTTAAATACGAAAAAGTCGCCATTTGCCTAAAAAGAATATCAAATAATACGAAATTTTCACATAAAATTAATTGTATTTTCGTTTTTAAAATGCTATACTTTGTTGTAAATTCTTTGCTCAAACATTTGGCTCCTTCAAGCATCTTATTTCAGAAGTTATTTATATTTTGTGAATATTAAGCTTTTGTTATCAATTTTTTTTCACGTTACTGCAATCGTCATGGAATTATTTGTTGCCATGGACAACTAACTGCTTTATTTCCCTTCCTTCTACGTATAATTAATTTAGAATCATCAAAGTTCCACTTTGTCATCTTTCTCTGCTTACACACATTACAAATATATACATTATACATATATATATATATTATAATATGTAATTTTTTTAATCATTAATGATAAATGTAATTTTTTTAATCATTAATGATAACAAAAAATGCACTAGTAATTAAACAAAATTAATTTCGACTACAACAGTTCAAAATAGAAACTATTTAAAAAAATGTATGTAAAGTAAATCATACTTAAAGATGTGAAGCAAAAGGTTTTGCTTACTGAATGCCTCAAGTGTTTTTTATTAGTATTCGTGCATACGTGAAATGCTAAATGTTACACGTGCTTTTATGCAAAGAAATATGTATGAATATAATTAAATAGGCAAAAATATTTGCAAACATACGTGATGAATCAAATCCACTTCAGAAAATATTTGTATGAAAATGTAAATGAAACATTAATAGCAAAATATAAGAAGTAAGCATATTTATGCATTTCAGTTAATTAGTATTGTTGATAAATATGATTTCGAGTAGTTATAAAAGTTGATCATATTCATATAAACAAGCATGAGCGATTAAATATAACAGAGTAAAGAAATACGAAAGAAAGTACTAAAGTTTTAATACAGATAAAAGATACAGTACGTTTTTTATACAGGTAAAAGATACAGTACGTTTTTTATACACGTAAAAGATACAGTGCGTTTTTTGATTACTGGATAAAGTTTGAGAAGTATTAAGTGAAAATATGTCTGGTAGAAAAATAGTGCATTGTTTGCATTTCAAAAGAAAACTGTAATAAAAAATGAAATAATAATTGGATTTTGAATTTGGCACATTTTTTAAAATAATTTTGTCGTTACTTATTCGTAATTTGAGCGTTTTTAAATCTATCGCCTACTTTTTCATAATTTTTATTTGAACAAATTTTTTCGATCAGTCAAAAAAAAAGCGAATAAATGATTCATACAACATGACAATATGATAATTTTACTGCAAAATTTCCATTTTTTGTTATTAAAGAAAGAATGGAAATTATTCAATTTCTATTTTGTGAAAAACTGGAAAATGTATGTTAGTTGCCTTTTTTTTTTTGAAAAAAAATTTTCGTTTGTATTGATGACATTTAACTCAAACCGATGCATAGCAATGTACTCAAAAATGTATTCATTTACTGAATAATAAATATTTAATAATTAAAAAATAATAATTTTAATACGTGAAAATTTTGTTAAAATACTGATTGATTCTTTTGATGGATCAATTTTGCCAGATCAAGAATGATTTCAGTGATCATTAACAGTAAAAATTATTTATATTATTTATTCTCA